CAGTCACTGAGAAGCCACACAATCCAGAAGCACAGGTCAATTTGTTTCTCAGGGAGTAAGTCTTTACCAGTTGGAAACAGGAAATGGGAGGAAACTGGACAGATAAATTATCCCTTTTTTTTCTCTTCATATGAACTATTCTGGAGTGCAGTTTCTCCTTTAAACCCTTTCAGAAAAATCCCTTATGCAAGTGACATGCTCTGTCTCTTAGCTCAAGGTGAAACAGGAGCCAGGTATTAATGTACTGCACCTTCCTTTGCCTTACTTTTTTCTCTCTCTCACTTTTACCATCTTGAGTTTGCACCTTCCAAATAAAAAGCACTTTGAGTTCTGCTTCTCAGAGGATGTGAGCTAAATAGTACACCTTACCTCAGTTGATACACTTAAGCTACAACCCTATGAGATAAATAAAAATGCTATTGGGGGGCACCTGGGTTGGCTCAACTGGTTGAATGTCCGACTCTTGGTTTCAACTCAGGTCATGATCTTGCAGTTGTGGGATCGAGCCCCAAGTCCGGCAGAGTCTGCTTCAGATTCCTTCTCCCTCTCCTTCTGCCCTCGCTCCCCCTGCTTTCTCTCTAATCAATAAATAAAATCTTTAAAAAAAATAAAGGGACACCTGGGTGGCTTAGTCAGTTAAGTGTCTGCCTTTAGCTCAGGTCATGATCCCAGGGTCCTGGGATCAAGTGCCACGTCGGGCTCCCTGCTCAGTGGGGAGCCTGCTTCTCCCTCTCCCTCTGCAACTCCTCCTACTTGTGCTCGCTCTCTTTCTCTCTGTGTCAAATAAATGGATGAAATCTTAAAAAATAAGATAAAATAAATAAAATAAAATAAAATAAAATGCTATTAGAAGTTAGGGGGCACCTGGCTGGCTCAGTTGGTAGAGCATGTGACTCTTGGTCTTGGGGTTATTAAGTCTGAGCCCCATGTTTGTGTATAGAGATTACTGAAAAATAAAATCTTAAAAAAAAAAGTTAGAAAACTGCTAGGACACCCATCTTACAAATGAAGAAACTGAGGTCCAACTAAGAACCTTTCCTAAGGAAAAAGGTTTCTGCTCACTTACTATACCCAATTAGTTCACAAATTCTGCCAGTTTTACTCCCTAAACATTCTCGTATCTGCCTCTCCTTTCCATCCTACCGCTTACCCCAAAGTAATATCAGCCCACATTTAAAAAAAAATCAGGCCCTGAGATGATGTCATTTTAACCCTTTATTAATGCTGAGACACAGATACTGTTATCATTCTCATTTTACAGAGGAAAGCTGAGGCTTAAAAAGGGTCTTAACATTTAACCAAGGGGTGCATGGGTGGCTCAGTTGGTTGAGCATCTGACTCATTTATATATTTATTTGAGAGCGCACGAGCAAGCAAGCAGGGGAGAGGGGCAGAGAGAGTATCTGAAGCAGACTCCCTGCTGAGCACAGAGCCCCACATGGGGTTCGATCTCACAACCCTGAGATCATGACCTGAGCTGAAATGAAGAGTTGGACACTTAACCAACTAAACCACCCAGGCACCCCAAGCGTCTGACTCTTGATCTCAGCTCAGGTCTTAATCTCAGAGTCAGCGAGTTCAAGCTCTCTGTTGGGCTCCATGCTGGGTGTGGAGCCTACTTTACAAAAGAAAATTTGCCCAAGGTCACATGGATACCAAGTGGTAGAGCTAGGATGAACCCAGGCTGTCTGGTTTCAAACCCCTTACTTCTATCTCTTCATCAGTTCTTACCTACCTCAGTTAAAACATAAATCATGTCACATGATGCTCTTGCTGAAATCTCCCAATGGCTTCCCATTAGAATGAACTCAAACTGACATAGGCCAGCCCAACACAACTGAATTCATCTTTCATGCTCCTTTGCTCACCATGCTATAAATACGTATCGAGTGCCTCCTATATGCCAGCCATTGTTCTAGGCACTGGAGATAAGAGCAAGACTAACACAGATAAAAGTACCTCTCTTCGAGGTGCTTATATTCAAGGGGTCTTCGCACTCTCTTTAAACATTTTCCAAGGGGTCTGTACATTTGTTGCTCCTCTTACCTGGATCATTTTTCCCCCCCATGGCTGGCTCTTTATATTGAGGGTTCCAATGTTACTTCTAAGAGAGCCCTTCCAATCTATTCAAAACAGGGTCCTTGCTCTCATTATCCTCTCATATCCTACTCATTGTCCTTTTTGTCACAATATTTATCACAACTTAAAAGTCACAATTATTTCTTATTTTGTTTACATGTTTATCTGTCTTTCATACTATAAGCTTCAGGACTACAGAGATTATGTTAGTGCCTGGCAAAGCAGGCCATGGGTAAATATTTACGGAATAAATTAATATCACAACATTAGCTGGCTTTAGCTATTCTCTGGCCTTCCAGTCTTGTTTCACTTAAATCTACCCCCTCCCACACTATGATCAGGTCACTTACTTTCTTTTCTTTTTTTTTTTTAAAGATTTTATTTATTTATTTGACAGAGAGAAACATAGCGAGAGAGGGAACACAAGCAGGGGGAGTAGGAGAGGGAGAAGCAGGCTTCCCCGCAGTGCAGGGAGCCCGATGTGGGGCTCAATCCCAGGACCCTGGGATCATGACCTGAGCCGAAGGCAGATGCTTAACGACTGAGCCACCCAGGCGTCCCAGGTCACTTACTTTCTTAAACGCTTTCATGGGTCTCTTTTCTTACCTAATTAAGAATAAGCACACAATACCCTCCATGACAAGGGCTCTGAGCTCAGGAGCTCAGAGATGAAGCAGCATATAAACTAGACTTTGAATGAAGAGAGTGTTTACCAGATTGAGAAGAGAAAGGAAGATACCACTTTCCCTTCTTTCTTACCAGTCAGAAACTCAAAAGAACACAATGCTTTTCAAGAGAGTCATTTCTGGTGTGAAGAGCTAGGTGTGTTGACATAGAAACATCAGCTGGAAACAGACTGTGAAGTTTCACAAATGACATTAAAGGGTGAGGATGTGATGCACACAAGATGGTGCAATCTTAGAAAGTTTACAGGGGTGGCAATAGTATGTTCCAATTCGTGTTTTAGAATAAAAAGACAGCAGTGAGAAGAATGGACTGGATAGGAAGAGAAACAAACAGCAGTCAGAAGGCTGCTTAATGTGAAACAGACCCCATTAAGAGATAAAAGCTAGAATCCCAGCAGGTGAAATGGGGATGGAGAGGAGGAGAGATTCAAAGGAACCACATTAAACACTCATCTACTTAATACATATTTAACATTATCTAGGTAAGAATTTCCTACAACATGGCCTATAAACTTCAACCAAAGACACAGTCCCAAATCGCCCTGGACCTTACTCCTCCACTACACGTATTACATAGCTACGTTACATGGCTATATTACATACATCCTACCAAATGGATGTACCACTGTATTAGGGCTCTCACAAACTGAGCAGTAGGTCTTCAAAGGCAGGGAGTGTGTCATACCCATTTCTTCAATATCCAAGGCAGTGCCTGGTACTCAATCTTTGTGAGTGAATGAACAAGTAGAAGAATGCTTTATGACTGAGGTAGGACTTGAAAACTAGATGGGCTTTAGGCCTAAAAAGGTCATTCCAGGCAAGTGCAAAAGATATGGGCAAGGAGGAATGGTAAACCTGGGGAACAGATAACGGTCATCAATTAAGAAGGAAGATGCTGGTCCCCTTCGTCCAGCCTTGGACAAGTCATGCTTATTTCCTGCCTGGAACATTCTCCCTATCCACCCTAACCATTCCATATGGCTCCTTCATTTCATGTGGGTATTTGCTCAAATATCACTTCACCCGAGCCTTTCTGTGACCAGCCTACCTAAAATTCTACAGCATATTCTATTATCCTGACTTTGTAAACCTTTTCTCTATTGTTTTTCTTCTCAGTTTACTGAAGAGATCTTTCAACAATTTTATTCATCTGTACCTATATTAGGATTGGCTTTCATTTCAAATCAAGTCCATCTGTCCCTTACTGAGATCAAAATCTACAGAATATAGAGACTGTCTTTTCTTTTTTTTAAATTTCACTGCAAAAAGTCTTAGTGTTGACCACTTCTAAGATCTGTCAGTTAAACTCTCCCAACATAATTGAGATGCCACAGAGAACATTAATTTCTTTTTTTTTTTTTTTTAAGATTTTATTTATTTATTTGACAGAGAGAGAGATAGCGAGAGCAGGAACACAAGCAGGGGGAGTGGAGAGCGAGAAGCAGGCTTCCTGCCGAGCAGGGAGCCCGATGTGGGACTCGATCCCAGGACCCTGGGATCATGACCTGAGCCGAAGGCAGACGCTTAACGACTGAGCCACCCAGGCACCCGAGAACATTAATTTCTTAAAAGACACATATCGCAGATCGTCCCAGAGGTAGGCAGGAAAGAATTTTACATACCCTAATGGAGAAGATTCTAGGAATGGAGCAGTAATCCATAAAGAAAATAATCGAGATTAAATTAATTAACCTTGAGGAACTACGGGAAAATAGGTTCTAAACCCAAGATATCTGCGAGCATAGAACGAATAGAGACGCTCTAATGTTATGTCTACTTAAATAGTTTTCACAAAACTAATTACATAGGACGTCGCTGACCAGAGGCAGGCTTATGTGGGGCAAACAGCCCAGGTGAGTCTTATCCTGAGCCAGGGGACTTAAGGCAGCTGTGTGCTCCAGGGTGAACTTTGCTTGTTCTGCCTTCCCCACTGGAAAACCGAAAAGCCTGTGAAGTGGTTACATTTAAGTCAGATATTCTGGAGAGTGGGGCAAAGGCGGTCAGTAGTGGCTTCATACTGCACTTAGATAAAAACAAAAACAAAAACAAACTATCGATCTGGGGCCCAAAGACTCACATATGGGACGGTCGAGGGAGAGGACGGGGGAGACAAATGCACACCCAAATTAAAATCGCCCTCGGGCCCCCACCCCCTAGTCCCCACAGACTCAGCGCCAGGGTCGGCCCACCCCTGCGTGTCCCACCGCTTCAGCACACGGGGCGTGGGAGCCTCACCTGCAGGCTTGTCTGCAGCCATCTTCCCAGCCCAGCTTAGGTTCTTCCCCGCAGGTGGCGTGGCCTCGATTCCAGCTGCCGAGTTAGCTGCGGTCCTGGACCCCGGAAGACGAGCCCACCCCGGCTCCGGGCCCCTGGGTTCCGGCCTGGGGAGTGGGGAGGCGGCGGGCTGAGGAAGTGACGAAGGCTAGTTCGCGTCGTCTAGCAACAAGAGGCAGAGTCTCAGGCCGGGTAGCCCCACTGACTCCCGCCAGGGACAGCTTCCGCTCCACGGCATCCTGGTACACACCACTTCCGGGGGCCGCCGCGGGTGTGGGAACTGCGGCTGGCCCCGCCCCACGCAGGCGTCCCCCGAGCGCCCCGCCCCCGGCGGCGTGTGCGTGTGCGTGTGCGTATGCGTGCGCGCCCGACCGGACGGATGCTCACTCGGGGTTGTGGGCGTGTGCTGGGTAGCCGGGGAGGGATCTGCACGCGATTACCCCTTGCTTATCCTGGTCAAAATTCCTAAGTGTCAGAGCTTTCCTCCCGCGTTTTACGTAAAATCGCAATAATAACACCTGACACCTGTACGCTTCCACTGATTTCTCCCAATTCTGTGAGAAGACACTTGCAATTCCCGTAAACGAAACATTTTATTTTAGAATAGTTTTATATTTGCAGAAAAATTGCAAAGATGATACATAGAGTTCCTGTATACTCCCCACCTAGTTTCCCGTGTTGTGAGCATCATAGATTTTGACTGAATAACTGGTACATCCGTCACATCTAAGAAACGACCTTGATTGGTACATTACCATATATTTTTTGTAACTTCATCAATTTTCCCCACTGTCCCCATTCTGTTCCAGGATTGTCAAGGACATCACATTACATTCCTTATGTCTTCTTAGGCTAGTCTTGACTGTGATAGTTTCTCAGATTTCTCTTGTCCTTGATGATTTTGACAGCTTTAGGGAGTACTGGTCAGGATTTTTGAAGACTGCACATTTGATTTGATTTATTTTCTTCATGGTTATGAAGCTGGCACCCAGACATTCATCCTGTCAATTCAGAACAGAAGCAAATTGTCCCCAGGCATAGCTGGACCAAACAAGGAACACTTAGGCCTAGCCTCCAGGGATAGGAATGCCTGCTTTATCTTTCAAAGCAACCTGTGGGACAAGTAGTTAATCAGCACTAGCCTAGAGATAACAATTATCAAATATATCTAATGAAATCTTTAGCATAAAGAATAAAGGTATATTTTAGATTCCAATTCTCTTGAAATGGAAAAGACCTACAGAGGACCAGACAAAGTGGCATGGCATCAGGACACCTGCTAACATGACTTCATGGGCCTTCAATCAATGGGGTCTACCTTCTCAGGACACCCTTGCCCCTGTTAGCTAGGATGCAGCAGGGAAGTTACTTAGATCAGAGGGCTAAAAGCTCTCAGTAGAAGGGAGGAGCGGGAAGGGACAAAAGCAGGGGAGGAATGTGTTTTGTTTTGCAGAACCAGCAGTTCCAACCAAGGAGACTACCCGGCTAGGTGTTTCACATGATAGCCCCTTACATGAGACAGTTTGAGCAGGACTAGAGCTGAGGATCTATGCAGAAGCCCCACTGAGTTGTCTTTTTATTTTTTTAAAGATTGTATTATTTTATTATTATTTTTGTTATTATTATTAGAGAGGGAAAGGGAAAATCTTAGGCAGGCTCCATGCCCATCTCACAACCCTGAGATCATGACCTGAACCAAAATCAAGAGTCGGACGCTTAACTGACTGAACCACCCAGGTGCCCCCAAGAAGATTTTATTTTTAGGTAATCTCAATACCCAACATGGGGCTTGAACTTACAACCCCGAGATCAAGAGCTGCATGCTCTATTAATCGAGCCAGCCAAGAGCCCCTTTATTATTTATTTATTTATGTATTTATTTTTTATTATTTTTCCCCAAGTTGTCTTAAAGTTGCCTTTAGCTCATTATAACACTAAGATCTCTTCCTATAGGTGGGATTTTCTGCCATTTCTTGAACATACCTATATGCACTAGCATGTTAATGTGTTAGACAAGCATAGGTGAAGCAAAGAGTGTAAGTAATAGAATATATATAAGTTCCTTAATGTATATGCAAGCTACCTGCCCTGCCCACTAATACAGTGACTAAAAGCATCCTGTACTAATCCATAGGAAGACAGTGCTTTGAGAACTGTCTGTCTCCTTACAAGTAACGAGTAATAAAAAGTTCTTTGCTTTTGGGGCGCCTGGGTGCCTCAGTTGGTTAAGTGTCTGCCTTCGGCTCAGGTCATGATCTCAGGGTCCTAGAATTGAGTCCCACATCAGGCTCTCTGGTCAGTGGGGGATCTGCTTCTCCCTCTCACTCTCCCTCTTTGCACTCCCTCACTCTCTCTATTAAATAAATGAAATTTAAAAAAAATTTTTTGAAAACAAAAAGCTCTTTGCTTTCAACACTTCTTTGGGTTATGTTCAATTTGATGCACCCCAAGTGCAGCACCCCTTGAGTTCAGTTATAGTTAGACTAGGATTATGGGCTTTTAGGAGGAAAACCAGAGGTGACTTGCCATTCTCATCACATCAAATGAAGATTACATGCTAGCAAATGATGATGTTAACTTTGATCACCTGGCTCAGGTAGAGTCTGCCAGTCTTCTCCACTGTAAAGTTACTTCCACACTCCACTCTTTGGAAGTGAGTCATTAAGTGCAGTTCACACTCAGGTTGGGGAGTGGAGGATGTTTTAAACTCTACCTCCCGCAGTGAGGAGTATATATGTAGATAACCTTCTCTAAGGGAGATTTGTCTCTTCTCCCCCATTTAGTTACTTATTTAACCATAAATTTTATGAGTATGGACTCATGATTGTGTTTACAATTCAATATTAAATTACTTTGTTGCTGAAATTGTTTCAGCTTTATTAATTAGGAGCTTTTTCAGGTAGGCTCCTATGTCCCTTTTAAGTGGTTGCCCACTTTTAAAAAAACCTTTTTTATTCACATTAACGTTCACATAGAAAAGTGCACAAATCATAAGTACAGTTTATTGAATTTTCAACATATCCACATAACTAACGCCCAGAGAAAGGACAACAAACTACCTGGAACTAGAGGCCCCCCTAATGCCTCCTCCCATTTCTCCACAAGGGTAGTCACTAAACTAATGGCTAACACCATGGATTAGTTTCACCTGTATTCAAATTTAATACAAATGGACCATACAGCATATATATATTTATTTTATTTTATTTTATTTTTTTAAAGATTTTATTTATTTGACAGAAAGAGACACAGTGAGAGAAGGAACACAAGCAGGGGGAGTGGGAGAGGGAGAAGCAGGCTTCCCGCATACAAGGGACCCCAATGCAGGGCTCGATCCCTGGGATCGTGACCTGAGCTGAAGGCAGACGCTATCGACTGAGCCACCCAGGGGCCCCTATATATATATTTTTAAAGACTTATTTATTTTATTTTATTTTTAAAGATTTTATTTATTGAGAGAGAGAGCAAGGGAGAGAGAAAGCACGAGTGGGGCAGGGGGCAGAGGGAGAGGGAAAAGCAGACTCCCCACTGAACAGGGAGCCTGATTTAGGGCCTGATCCCAGGACCCTGGGACCATAGCTTGAGCCAAAGGTGACTGAGCCATCCAGGCACACCTTATTTATTTATTTTAGAGTGAGAGAGCATGCAAGAGTTGGAGGAAGGACAGAGGGAGAGGGAGAAAATTTCAAGCAGACTCCCTGCTGAGCATGGACCTGATTCAGGGCACAGTCCCACAAACCTGAGATAATGACCTGAGTTGGACACTTAACCGACTGAGCCATCCAAGCATCCCCATACAGTATATTTTTCTTGGAGTTTAGCTTCTTTTGCTCAACAATATGAGATTCATCCATGTTGTTGAGTCTGTAGCTTGTTTCTCATTGTTATGTAATGTTCCATTATGTTAATTATTCTGTAATTTATGTGCTCATTTTATTGTCTGTATTGAATAAGGCCAATATGAATATTCTAGTATATATTTTGATGTATATGTTTGTAGGGGCCAAGGGCAGGCTGACCCAAGATGGGTCACTTTGGCATAGGGCAAACATCTTTATTTTCCAAACATCTCTTCCCACCTTCCTGCTAAAGATCTTTTTCTCCCTTTGTATCTTCAGACCCCTACCCCTTTCCTTAGCTCATATAAGCCTCATGTGACTCACTGTCTTTGGAATTTCCATGTCTGTGTGGACTGCTCATATGTATGCTATTAAAGTTGATTTTTTTCCCCACTAATCTGTCTCATCTCAGCTTGAGTCTTAGTCCAGCTAGAAGAACTCTGAAGGGCAGAGGAGATTCTTTCTCCCCAACATGTTAGAGCTCACATAAAAAGATGCCTGAAGTGCTTACTAATCTTGCTTAAGGAAGGATCCTCTCAAGAAAAGAGAATTAGGTGGAACCTCTTAAATAATTTGGACTTGTGCTGGATGATTTTAAAGAGGGATTAGGCAGGTGGAGGGGGCAATTTAGAATTAGATTCACTCAGGAAACAGGCAATTCAGTGATTAAGGGTCTTAATTTTTATCTGGGAGACAGGAGGATTAAAGAAAGACTAGAATTGGGGGCGGAGCAAGATGGCGGAGGAGTAGGAGACCTGGATTTCGTCTCCTCTCAGGAATTCAGCTGGATAGGGATCAAACCATTCTGAACACCTACAAACTCAACAGGAGATCGAAGAAAAGAAGAGCAACAACTGTCTCAGCAGAAAAGCGACCACTTTCTGGAAGGTAGGACGTGCGGAGAAGTGAATCCGAGGCGATATTCGGGAGGATAGACGGCGGGGGAGGGGCCTCCGTCGGCCGCTTCTGGCAAGTGATAGAGCCGCGGAGCACAAAATCGGAACTTTTAAAAGTCAGCTCCGCCGAGGGACGTCACTCTGGTGGCTCAGCGGGGGGTGGAACCCTCCGGGACAGTGTGGTCTCAGGACCCTCGGGGTCACAGAAAGACCGGGGGTGCCTGAGGGCAGCAGAGCTCCCAGGTAACGCAGCAGGGAAGCCGGCTGCAGAGGCGGAGCCCAGGCGCGGGCTCTCAGCTGGGGTTGCCATAAACCGCGATCCGCGGCCCAGTCGGGCCCCTGCTCCTCCAGCAGGGACCCAACAAGCGGCCGATCCGGGGAGACTCACCTTCCTCCCCCGGGAGGAGCCGCGCGGGAGTGCACCGCAGGGATCTGCTGGGTTTGGAGACTCCAGACCGGGTCCGGTGCCAGAGATAGAAACGCGTGGTCACAGGCCGGTTGAGCACGGAGTGCAGCTGCA